CAATAGGTTCCCCAGCTACTCTCTTCAGCATTTGATGCTGTTGTGGCATAGATATTTAAACCTTCAGGAAGAAGACCCTCAAATATACTACCAGACTCGCAAGCTTCAAGGTAAAATACCTGCAAATAGACAAAGAAAAATTAACTTAGAGAATGAAAAAGGAAACCACAAATATATGAATCTAGAGCAGTAGGAGTTGGAAGGAAATATAACAGCTTACCAAGCTTTTATATGTACCGGAAGCATGCTTCTTCTTCAACACGTCAATAAGATCGTTTGCATAGAGGTATGGATCGGTAGGCATCCCTGGATCCATGACAGTGTAATTAGTATAAGAAGTGAAGGAACTATAATATATTGTTCCTGCAATTTAAAAAGACCAAGCAAATGCGAAACAATTGAGGCACATCATGCCTTAAACACTTTGGTCCAACAAAATATGTCCAGTTTCAATTACATCCATCTACAAGAATACCAACTTACCCATGATCCATACAAATGATAAACCTCCATATACGACAGTGATTTCTAAAAGGGAAGATTGCTCATAAGAGACATAATAAAGCAACAAAAATGAGACAGATTGTTTATATAGCAGCCTATATCATATTCAAAAATAAAAAAATGTTAATATTAATTGGGAAAGGATGATTAATCATAGGAATGTCACTCGACAAAGGAATACGCTAGTGAAGTCAAGAAAACTAGTAATCGCCCTACTGACTCAATTAGTAAAGTCGACTGCCCTATGTTTCCAATCAATAGCAATTTTCCAAACATTTACTGTGGAAACAGAATTTCAAATAACTGTTGCAGATTCAACAGGTAAAAGCTAGATATATAACCAATTTACCTCCTGTTTGTGTAAAAGAACAAGAACCAGTAGATATCATTTGTGTAACACTCCAGATAGGAGAGGAATCAAATATTTGCATGAAACAATCAGTATTTAGAAGTGAAAATAAGCTACTGACCAAGCACTCCAGGACCTCCATGATCACTATAGAAGATGAAGATATGATCATTTGGACCACTATTCACCACCTTTCCGCTGCCTCCACTAAGGGCAGTTTTGTTCCCAAGGATAACAGCAAAAAAGTTGTCAACAGTAACATCATCCCCAGTGTAATCCTGCCTCAAGAAACAGCATCTCAGAAACTGATATTACTAATTAGATATGAGGAAGTATATACACATACCTTAGGGACTCCTTTGTAAACATCCTCACCATGAGGGCTATTAATGATAACTCCTCGTCTTGGGTTCTCTTCGTTGTTTGCAATGTCATCGTACATGAACACAACAATGTTCTCATCTTTCAGACCACCCTTCTTCAACAGTTGATATGCGTGGCATATATCAGCCTGAGTCAAGGTTTAAGAATTTAAGTTTTATGTTACAAATATTTAGGCAGATTACTTATTAATTGGTAATTGGTAAAAATTGTAACTAACCTTCTGTCACAAGTTAAAAAATAACTGATAGTGTATATAATTCTTTACCGTATCGGTAGTATATAGAAAACCATGTAGATGAAGATACAGTACAATCTTATATAATCAAGAGAAAGTTCTTCTTTTTTTTTTTTTTTT